AAGAGTGAAAAGCTGCTCTGCCTATCAAAGAATACAATAACACAGCAGGACAAGGAAGGGCTTGTTAGACTGAGAGTAGCTACTCTAGGGGCTAGCAGAACTTGCTGGCATGCTTCATGGAGCACAGAGCCCCGTCGAACCCAAGGGAGGTTTTTGTCTCAGTTCGTCATCTGACTGTGTCACAGTGACATACCCAAAAATACCTCCAATCTTGTAATCTGCACCACACCAGTAAATGGCCTCATCTTCTCCAGGGACATTGGTGATGGTTAAATAGCGTATGGCGCTGGAGTTGGAAACGCTGAATCGATCTGGGACTCCATTCCCTTTGATCCCTTCGCTGTGCCAGAGAAATTGTGGGGCCTGGCCCTGTTTTTGTTGGTACCAGTGGACATAGTAGTTACTGTGCTCACTGCTCAGTGTACAAGAGAGACTGACAGTGTTGCCAAGGGTCACGGACTTTGAGGGCTGTTGAGTCAGTGTGGGCTGTGAGAGGGAACCTGGAAGAATGAGAGGAATTAATCCCTTATCCTCACTGAGCCTCTGGTTTTGTGACAGACAGGACAGAAACAAAGGACAAAAAACTGAAAAAAACACCCTGGGGAAAGAGAACCAGGTGATTCATAAAGCCCAGGATGTGGCTGACCCTCCCCTTCGGAGTACCTGAGCAGTGTGTGAGCAGCACGAGGAGGAGCGGCGCCCAGGCCATGGTGGGAATCCAGAGCAGCTCGGCTTCCTCAGGCAAACAGATCTCTGGCTCAGACCCTCAGAGTCTCTCTTAACCCCCCGGAGCTGAGATCAGCCCCTTCATGCAAATCTGCCCCTGCTCCCTGCCCACAGGTGCCAGTGGCTCCCAGCTGATTTTGGCAGGAGGAGTGAGAGTATTAAAGAGTTCAGGAAGTGCAAGCACAAAGGAATTCAGATGTTACCAGGACAAGGGCTGCCTGGGGACCGGCCTGGGGCTGATCTCAGCTCCGGGGGGTTAAGAGAGACTCTGAGGGTCTGAGCCAGAGATCTGTTTGCCTGAGAAAGCCGAGCACTGGTGCTTGGCCTGTCCTCTGCACAAGGGGGTCTTCCCGGCCAGTACTCTTCCCTTAAATAACCTGGGAGGAGATGCACATTTAAGGCATATGGTGGCTGGGGTGGGGGGGTGGGGA